CCTGAGCTGAAGGCAGAGAGGCTTTAACCCACTGAGTCACCCAGGTGCCCCAAGATTTCATTTATTTCTAAGAGACAGAGAGAGGGAGCACACAAGCAGGAAGAGAAGCAGGCAGAGGGAGAAGCAGGTTCTCTGCTAAGCAAGGAGCCCGATCGGGGGACTCTATCCCCGGATTCTGGGATCATGACCTGAGCTAAAGGCAGACGCTTAACTGACTGAGCCACCCAGGTGTCCCTCAATTCTTAAATAACCATTCAGATTTGTCTTTATATCCCAGAAAGAAAGTACTAATTTTAATATTTGACTCTTTAGCATTTACCCAAAATGTGAATTGGGTACACCCCTTTAAAATCCTCCAGATTGCTTTTGAAATTAAAATTACCTCAGCCTATAAATTCCTACATGGTCTGGGGCTTGGCTCTAGTCTTCTGTTCAGTCCATTGTTCATACCACTCTTCCCCTCCCACCATTCTCTACTCACAACTGTCTCCTCGGTTTTGTTACTCTGTTGACAAGGTTTTCCCCTCCAGGGCCCTTTGTTTTCCTTAGTATTTCCTTTTCATATTCGTCAAATCTCAGGTCAGATATCTCCATCTCAGAGGTCAACCTATGAAAGTAGTCTGCAATAACCACACTAACATGTTTTATTTCCTTCACAGCATTCATCTCTACATGAAATTATCTTTTTTATATGCTCATTGTCTATCACCCAGATTAAACTGTAAATTCCACGAGAGAGTGATTTTGTTCATTGCTGCATTCTCACTACCTAGACCGGTGCCTTGCATAAAATATGTGCTCAAAAAATATTTGTTAAATCAATGAACATGTAACATGACATCCAATAAGGATGCTGTCTGTTTTGAAAGTGCCCAAAAGACAATAGGTTAGGAGCCAAGTACCTCCATATCCTTAAGCCAGGTGTTAGTCCACCACGCAAAATATGCTAAGAAATTGAGGCTTAGCATTATTCATCACTCATGCCCAGCCCAGAGAGCAAGGAGGTGGGGTGGGGGACTGATGACTCAGGAAAAGTGTCGCTTTGGAGACATTTGATACTTACCCACTCCACCCACAGGGGAAAAAAGAGATGCTTCCCCTAATCTCAAGCTATGTAAGAGGAGCTTTCAGGGAAACACTTGGAGAACTTGATACATGTCGCCTGGAGTCGGGGGGAGTACAAGGACCTGGGATCTGATACTTTCCTAAGAAAACCAAAGGCAGACTAGAGGAAGACAGAGAGCACTGGAAACAAGCCACGCTTTCACCAACTGTGGAAACATGAATTTTCCCAGGAGAAAGGGTACTGATGTAAGCAATTTACTTTGTTATACACCAAAAATAAGATGAATTAATGGACTTATGGAGGGACGGATGGGTAGAGAGATAAGTGATAGAGTGTAGCAAAAATGTTCCCAGGGATGGTGGGAGAGAATTATACTTGAAGCCAGTTTAAAACAGAGTCTAGCTAAATGAGTACTTTGCTGAACCCCCCAGGGATCAAGCAGCAGGCTAAACCCAAAAAAAATCCCAAGAGCTAAGGCTAGGGTTGTAAGTGGTTGCCTAGAAGTGACTTTGTGCATGTCATATAACTGAGACATCTAAGAAGCTCTACTACCCTCCCCTGCACAATATAAACCTGAAGGAATTGGAAAGCTTAATCAGTGAGTAGTTAAGGTGGAGGAAGTGGAGATGTAAATGGTAGAAAACTAAATAAAAGTGGCCCATACCACATAACTCACTGCAGTCCAGAAGCAGGACTGGGCTTGGGAAAAGGCAAAGCTTTAACTTGGAATGAAGTTTGTGTGGACTTCATGAAAAAGTATCCAGGGCAGAATGAAGAGCAGCCCTCAGAGAATTTGAAGACTTAGTGGAGCAAAAATGAAAGAATTTTGTGGTCCTACCCTACTGAATCCTGCTTATTCAAAGTAATGTATATGCCTAACAAAACCCAACCCTGAATGAAAAAATCCTGATTTAATATCATAGCACGTATTCATTTATTCAACAAATATCTATTGAGCACCTGCTATGTGGCAGGCTTTGGTACAGGTAGTAAGGATGCAACAGTGAATAACGCAAATATTTGATTTTTAAAGTTTTATTTTTAAAAAAATTTTTTGAAGATTTTATTTTTATTTGACAGGGAGATCACAAGTAGGGAGAGAGGCAGAGAGAGAGGGGGAAGCAGGATCCCTGCTGAGCAGAGAGCCCAGTGCAGGGCTCAATCCCAGGACCCGGAGATCATGACCTGAGCCGAAGGCAGAGGCTTAACCCACTGAGCGACCCAGGCACCCCATGGTTTTTTAAAGTTTTAAAAGCCACTAGAGTTCATGGTAACATTCCATATCTTGATAGAGATTTGGGTTATGTAAGAACAGGAATTTCTTAAAACTGGAGTTCAATATTCATAGTTTTTTTCTTTTGATACAAAATTTATAGGTGATGACATGCATAGCTCTTAAATTATGTTTGTTGAGTTTTGACAAGTGCATGATCATCACAACTCTGCCTCCCTCCATGTCAGCAGATAATCTTAGCCCCCTACTTCCCCAAGAAAATAGAAGCCATAGACAGGAATTCCTTCAACTTATAAATGTATCTGCAGTCATGTCTACCCTTTATTCCTTTCCTTCCATTATTATGGACAACATGGACCTCCTCCCATCTAAGGCTAATTTCTTTTGGTTTTGCTTTGTCAGAGGCCTTGCTCTATTGGATTATCCCTCTCATCCTCAACTCTCATTTCAAGGAATGAGCTTGTTTAAGTACTAATGCCGGATTCTTTTGTCCCAGAGTTCTCACATTAGCCATTTTCTTGGAACCACTTGCTTACTTCTTTTCTTTAACTCCTACTCACCCTTCAGGTCTTTGCTTAGATGCCATTTACTTACATATGACTTTCCTGACCTTCAATCCCACACCATGGTAGAACCTACTGAACTTCTTTTTTCATGACATGGAACTTACCTGTAGTTACTTGTTCTATGTATGTCCTGCCCAGAAGACAAACGTGGTTTCTGTTCTTGCAGTGTCTTGTTAATTGCTATACCTGCAGTATTTAGCATAGCGCCTGGCACATTATATATCTGTTGCTTCATGTATTGATTAATTAAAATTCAATCATATCATCCATACAAAGTAGTATTTTTAAATGTCTTTTTTTCTTCATATAATTTAATTTTTTATTCTAATTTCTATGTACTCTTCTAGGATTGCGTTAAACAAGAATGGCATTGTGACATTATTGTTCATATAATTTCTTACAATTCTATTTTTTAAAATTTAAACGAATATCTTCTACAAAGAAGATTCTCAACGAGAATGATTTCATAGTCATAAAAATCCTGTAATAGGAAAAGATCCTTAGAGAGGTTCTATTTCAATTTTCTCAGATTACTCCTTAGAAGCAGGAAGGAAAACGAGTACTGTGGTATTTTTATGACTAAATTGGTACTGCATTATTATCATCTTTTTACTTGGATCTGGGTGTCTTATGGCTAGAGACCACCAGTGGGGAGACATTCTGAAAATTCAGAATTCTTTTTATCTTAATTATGAAGAAGAATGATCATCTGTTAGTTTACATAACGACTTCCTATAAATAGCTTAGCTTTTCTATGCAAACCTAAATTTATTCTGCATTCATTGATAGAGAGTAGGGGCTACATTACATGAATTCTTCATGTATGTAACATTCAGACATACGTACAATTTAAGCACATATATACACATGCACACACATATGCACATTAAAACATAAAATTTGAGAAAAAAAATATTTTATTTAGTTAGAGCTAAATAAGTGAAAGATCTCTGTGTACAAATATAAATGCTTCTCCTTATAAACAGTTTCTACTGCCAGCCGTGAGGTAAGTCTTATTGACCCAATATAGAGCTCCTTTTACCAGGTCAAAGTACAGTATCAACGTCAGTACAGTTAGAGGCTTCACAGACCAGCCTCTTCTTGGAATCATATCCAAACAAAACCAGAATAACAACCTAGACTAAAAGAAAAGGCAATTTAAGTCTTTACTGATGTCTTCTGAAGCATGACAAAGCAAACTGCTTAAAATTCTCTTTCCCAGCTGTAAATCTCCTTTCCAGTCCCTCAAACAGGAGCCACCTCCTCTCCCTTTCCTTCACTTAAGTAGAATTTAGCTTATAAAGCTTTTTATTTTTCTTCCTCATCCTGGAGCTGACCAGCAAGGAAGAACTATTCTGGGAAGAGGTACCTGTTGGAAGGTTTGTCCGAGGAGATGCCCAGAGGGAATCAGCCATGCTTAGGAAGTGCCCAGTCTTTCCTCAAGGAGCTAATGAGCTGGAGATAAAAGGAACAATCAATAACCACAGGGAGAAAAGCAACATAGCAGAGTACCTGCTTACTTGTTGGTTGGTGTGATACAGACTCAGTAAAATTAGGGATTCTGAGATAGGCGAGATCAGCCTGGAGGTGAGGGTGGAGGTGAGGGTGGAGGTGAGTGCGGGCCTGGACAAACGAATTACCTAATCAATAAGCATTTGTGGAACCTCCTCACTTAGTTTTTCTCCAGTGACCCTTCCGTGGTATTTTCCTTTATGGTCATGACTTCTTTTAGCTGGATAACATAAGGAAGCATCGCTATGTACAGTGGGCAGCTAAAAGCTCTTCCTACAATACTAAGAGGTAGTTCGGAATAATGAAGTAGTCTCTGAGGTCCCTGAAGGTTGGAACCCAGGTGTTTTGGGTCCCAGGTGGCCGGACACTCCTCCAGTTTAACAGTCCAGGACAGTTAAGTCCGGCTCAAAGCGCAGAGTGGTCTGAGGCACCTGCTTACAGGAATCTCCACTTGGCCTCAGCCTCCAGGTCAGCCAGCCCAGGCTCCCGCTACCACCTGCTCAGGATTTCTGCTGTCACTCTGCCCACGCCACTTCTCGACCCCTCCCACCTTTCCCTTCCGCGAGCCGCCATTTTCAATTACGCCTGCCACCTATTTGGGGCCTCCTAGGCTTCCGTCCCAGATGATCCCTCCCCGAGGCTGCCGCCGCCTCCTCCTTCTCCCGGAGCTGGAGCTACCCCCTCGGCCAGTGGCGTAGCCAGAGTCTGTGTCAGGGCCAGCCAGATAGGGGCGGAGGTCCTGAGCCCTGTCTCGACTCGAGCGGGGGGCCATGGAGAAAGCGGCCCGAGGCGCTTTCCACACCGACTAACGCAGGCCCGTTGCGGCTGCAGGCGCCATGGACCGAGCCCCCGCTGACCAGGTACGCGAGCTCGGGCTGGGCCGGCAGGGCCGGGTGCTGGGGGTCGCCGCTTCCTCCGGAGCGGGCCCTGGTCCCTGAGCGTGGGCCTGGACCGCCGGGGCCCTGGGGTTCCTGCGGAAGCGGACTCCCCTTGCCTGAGAGCCTGGCGGCGCCCTACTCCTGCATTGTTCCAATTGCTGCCTCGGGGATGGGGGCTTTTCCAGCTCTAGTTACCCCCTACCCCGGGCTGGGGACTCGTTTTTGCCCCTCCTCCGTGGTTTGGTGTTAGGGGCCGGAGGACTCCCAAGTTGTCAGTGCTCGCCTGAGAGGAGGGTTTATAACTTCCAGCGAGTACCCCCCCCACCCCCACCGTTTTAGTTCTGGAATGTGTTTTCAAGGTGGCAAGGCTTTCGAAGGCTTCTCACCCAGTAAGACTGTCACAGAATGTGTGGTAACTACAGATGCAGGGGGTTATGGGCTTTTTGGATCAACGTTCCGTTGAGCAGAGCATTGTTTTTCGCAGTGGTTTTAGGGAGGTGTTTCCTTTAAGGTATGAACTACTGTGGTTTTCCCCTGCTTTTCTGTCCATTTTGCAAAAATTAGTATTTTTGAAAAACTGAGGTTATATTTTAAGAATGTTGGATCTGAATTATGAATTCATTTCCGAGACCGTTTTCATATTCACTGAGTAGTTCCATTAGTATTCTGTTTTGGTTTTAATTGTATTAAATTCTTGATTATCCATGCGAGTAGTTGCTGGGAGGCAGGGATGATGAAAATGTAAATAATAATCCAAAATAAGCGGTCTCCCCCACCCCCGCAAAGTGTTAGTATTTTCTGTCCTTGAGACCTCTATGAAACTTAAAATTTGATGAAATCGAAGTTTATTCACTATGCATTCTCTTCAGTTGAAGACTTTGCCCAGTGTTGAGGGAGGCAGATAGATGAAGGAGAAAAAGACTAGCGATTTGCCTATTTTACAAATAGATAATTAGTATCTGAGGAAATGAGACAAGATTTCCAAATTTCAGTATATATGTAGCTAGTCAAAGGCAATTTTGATTTTGAAATCTGGCTCTTTTAGCAGGCAGATTCCTAGTTGTGTATATTTGGTTTTGTTTTGTTTTGTTTTGTTTTTACAAAAGCATTCACTAAAAAAAATAGGAGATTATGAATTTGAAAACACAGATAAGTTTTATGAGATAATATGTGGATTTACCAAAGCAAAATTGATCGGAGCCTCTTAGCTCTCTAGTGACCCGAGTATCCCATATACAGTCTATATCTAACTTAATGAAAAATATTTTTTAAGGCATCTATAAGAATGCTTTTAATATCAAAGCCTGACAATTGAATAGGAAATTTTCTTAAACAATTTTCTTGTATGTGTGTCACTAATGAAAAGGTTAAAAAACTCTTTGGTTCTTCATCATGATGCCAAAACTGTAACCAGTAATGCTACCATATGTATACTTATGGTTCCTTTCATCTTACAGGAAATATAATTAACTATTTAGCATAGCTATTTGTGTGTGGTTATCTTAACAGCAACTGCTGTGAGCAAATTATTGAAACTAGAGAACCTATTCCTCTTTCATCCTACATCTTTCCAAAGTCCACAACCTATTAAAACCTTGTAGAAATGTAAGGATTAGAAAGAAATCGTGAATGTAGTTTTTCCGTTGAAGAATTTCTAGCTCTTTTTACTCTAATACCTCCTGCCTCTTCCTCAGCCTAACCTTAAGTAAGAGAATAATTCTAACTACCCTCTCTTCCCACTTGCTACACACTCACTGGAAACCTAGATACAGAAAAGGGATGCTGCTTTGCCTTGTTCAGGCTTTAGGCAGTTAATTCAGGGGTTGATGGATGACCTGGAAGGAGTGTGCTTCATTTTATATTAGCATTTTTCTGGGGCAAGACTCCATTATTTTCATCATATTCTCAAAAGAATCTTATCACTGAAAAAAGGCTAAGAACTATTAATTTAATAATAGATTAGGGGCTAGAGCTGAGCTTTCTCCACTTTGTGAAGTTCTTCATTGTTTCCATTATACCATAGAGTAATGTAATGACTTCTAGGTTTTTTGGAATGTACTTTTATATTTTTACTAATGAAGTGAATTTAGATAGGTAAAAGTCACTAAAAGTGTATGTGATATGTGTATTTCCATTTTCCTCACAAAATGTTTGTTTTTCATTTTAAACCACTGTTCATTTATATTCAGAATTTTGGGGGAATGCCTGCAGCATTAAAACTCACTCATAATATTGTAGTGATTAGCAATTTATAGAAATTTGATTTCTTAAGAAATAGTACTACATACAAACTATGCATTTCACGTTAACCTAATTGAAATCCTTGGAGTATTGCACAAGAATAACTTAAACAAACAAAGAAACCTGAGTGTGTTTTGCCTGAAGGTATTCATAGTGCTCTTAAAAAGAAAACTTTGATAAAAAGATAAATTGTATATATGTTGATAAGGTTAATAAAAAGTAAGTTACTGGGAATACATCCTAGATAATATAATTGCAATAGGGACTGTTGGAAAGAATGTTATAACCAAAAGAGGATCTCAGTAGTACTTTCTTTTAGCAATAAATCAAAACAAGTAATTTAATTTTAATTGCCAGAGTTAGATGGTCTAAGAACAGTTATTACTTGGTATAATGCTTTTTTTTTTTCCTTTTTTTTTGTCCTTGATGGGAAAAATGTTGGTGTAAAGGGATGTGAAAAATAAATCACAGAGTTTATTTGTTTATAAAGGCTTAATGTTTCTATTTTTAAGAAATTTAAGGCCGTGTTTTGAGATTTTTTTAAAAAAATGAACAATGGCCTTAGAAGTGACAAAACACTTGAAGTTTACAGTGTCTTTTGTATTATCAAATAATTTCAATGTTGGCTTAATTTTTAGTACATTAACATCAGATAAGTTCATTTAAAGGTTGTATTTATTTATTTCTTGGATTGAGAGAGAGAGAGAGAGCGCGTGAGAGAGAGAGCGCACAAGCAGTGGGAGCAGCAGGCCAGCAGGCAGAGGGAGAAGCTGGATGTGGTACTTTATCCCGGGACTCTGGGATCATGACCTGAGCCAAAGGCAGATGCTTAACCAACTGAGCCACCCAGGCATCCCTAGATAAGTTCTTGGCATCAGGGAAATATAAATCAAAACCATGGTGTGATACCACCTTACACTATTCAGAATTGCTAAAATTAACAAATCAGTAAAGTACAGATATTGGCAAGGATGTGGAGAAAGGGGAACCCTCCTACACTCTTGGTGGGAATGCAAGCTGGTGCAGCCTCTCTGGAAAACAGTATGGAGGTTCCTCAAAAAGTTGAAAATAGAGCTTCCCTACAACCCAGCAACTGCACTATTGGGTTTTAGCCCAAAGATGCAAATGTAGTGATCCGAAGGGTCCTTGCACCCCAGTGTTTATAGCAGCAATGTTCACAGTAGCCAAACTGAAAAGAGCCCAGTGACAGATGAATGGATAAAGAAGTTGTGTACACACACACACCTCCCCCACACACATTGGAATATTACACAGCCATCAAAAATGAAATCTTGCAATGACATGGGTGAAACTAGAGGGTACTATGCTAAGTGAAATAAGTCAGTCAGAGAAAGAATTATATGACTTCACTGATACATGGAATTTAGGAAACAAAACAGAAGATCATAGGGGCAGAGAGGAAAAAATAAAACAAGTCAAAAACCAGAGGGGGGAGACAAACCACAAGAGACTCTTAATCATAGGAAGCAGACTTGAGGGTTGCCGGTGGGGGTGGGGGGATGGGGTAACTGGGTGACGGACATTAAGGAGGGGCATGTGATGTAATGAGCACTGGGTATTATATAAGACCAATGATTCACAGGCCTGTACCTCTGAAACCAATAATACATTATATTGTAATTGAATTTAAATAAAAAATGTTTATTAAAATAAATGTAAAAAAAAATAAAAGAATTTACAAAACTGTTGATCACCAGTGTCTTTAACTCTTAGAAAAGCAAACATAACAAATACACATGACCTTGTACAAAGTGCTATTCACCAATAAAGATACAAAATCACCTGGTTTATAATTCTTTCCTTTAAATAACTGATAAACTTCAAATAGTATCAGCGTTGCAAACTAAATATATTCTAAATAAGTTACTATAAAACATTTATTATTCAGTACTACTTATAATTGGCCTTAATGAATATAAGTAAATGATTTATTTTAACAGGTCTTAAAAAATACTTTTATAATCAAAAGGAAAGTAAAATAACTTTTAGAAATTTAACTTTATTATTATTTTTTTTAGATTTCCTTATTTGACAAGGAGAGAGTAGGGGGAGCAGGGAAGAAGGAGAGAGAGGGGAAGCAGATTCCTCGTTGAGTGGGGAGCCCAATGTGGTGCTGGATCCCAGGCCCCCAAGATCATGACCTGAGCCAAAACCAAGAGTCTGACACTCAAGCAACTGAGCCACCCAGGCACCCTGACCTTTGGAAATTTAAAAAGACCATTTTTCCCTAAGCCCTCAATTAAGAGGAAATTAAAAAGTAGAATTATGGTTATTGAAGTAGTAGTACACATGAAGGGGTCTCTGGGTGGCTCAGTCATTAAACATCTGCCTTCGGCTCTGGTCATGATCAGGTTCTGGGATTGAGCACCGCATGGGGCTCCCTGCTCGGTGGGTAGCCTGCTTCTCCCTCTCCCATTCTGCCTGATTGTGCTCCCTCTCTCACTGTGTCTCTCTCTGTCAAATAAATAAAATCTTAAAAAAAAAAAAAGTAATACATATGAAAACCTATGGGATGTGGCTGAAGCTATACTCTGAGGCAAATGCATAGTTAGAAATGCTTTCATTATTAAATATTTTAAAAGGTAAATAAAGTGTCCAGGGTTAGAAGTTAGCAGGGAAAACATATCAAAGCAAGAGAGGAAAAGAAATATAAAACCAGAAATTAATAAATTAGGTAATCCAAAAACCAGTATTAAATTTAGAGAGTTGATTTTTAGAAAAGTACCATCAGGTTTTAAATAGGATTAGGTGTAGTCTGTTTTAAGAAAAGAGGAAGAGATTTGAATAGTAAATCAAGTGGACAGTCTTAGTTCAATATTTTGTGTCTTTTTTTCCTCAGTGTTTTCTGAAGTCTTGTAAAACCTACATATATAACTACTGCAATTGATTTGTCAAGTGTTTACTTTCCATAGAAGTCCTTCCAGTCAAAAGCAATATAGCCAGCGGGTATCCCTTAAGCATTACTCATTTTTTCCTTTGGAAGACATTTATTTTTCTTTGCCCATTAGATATAAAATACCTTAATGTTTGATATATTTTTACCTTAATATAGAAAGGATGTAGAGGATTTCCATGGTCATATTTTTTCTGTAGGTGTGTGGTACATACTGAAATTTCACTGTGGGAGAATGCCTTATTATGTTCTACTTCAGTTTTGATTTTAAGTGGGTGTTTTTTTCTGTTGCTTAATCTGGAAAAATTATTTGCACTCTTCTGGAGGTTCTATCCCAGAGGAGTTTAGTGTGCGTTTCCTGCCATTGGGTGCTTCATAGTAATGTTTGTCCATTTTCCTTAAACCAGTCTAGTACAGCACTTTTCCCAGAACATGTACTCATTGCATATTTGTTGAATTTATGTAGGCTTTCAGTGATCTGAGTGCATTTGTTTAATCTACTCTTTTAAAGAAGGCTTTTATATTTTCATGTTCTGATAAATTCTTGGGTTTTCTAGATTATTCACATCAAAGAAGGTTTATTATTATTTGTTTTAATATATGCTAATTTTTTTTTTTTTTTTTAAGATTTCACTTATCCATTTGACAGAGATCACAAGCAGGCAGAGAGGCAGGCAGAGAGAGTGAGAGGGAAGCAGGCTTCCTGCTGAGCAGAGAGCCCGATATGGGGCTCAATCCAAGGACCCTGAGATCATGACCCGAGCCGAAGGCAGCGGCCTAACCCACTGAGCCACCCAGGTGCCCCTAATATATGCTAAATTTAAAAGGAATGTGAAACTGCTTATTATTTTTTTTCCCATACAGGTTTTGGGATTATTATAATTTTTTCACTCATTTGTAAAATTCTGAAATAATATCTGAAAGATAAAGATAATTTTACTATATAGATTTTTTTTTTTTAAGCAAATAGTGGTACAGGAATAGTTAGACTTTGTGTAGTTTAGACTTACTTTATATTTATGTTTACTTTAAGGAGACAACTGCTATAAAATTTCCTATTCCTAAAAAATAGATCTTGTCAAAAGTAGACCAAAAAATTCAAACTAAGGAATATCCTTGTATGAAGTAACTAGCCTAATTTTTTTTTATAATGTTTTGTTGTCTACTATGTAGGACAACATTTGATTTCTATACTAATATAATTAAAATATTGCCAGAACTTGTTACTTAACATATTGTCTATATGGGCTTTATTATGTAGAATTTTAAGAATAATTTGGGATTTAACTTTACTTTTTAGGCCCAAGAATAGCACATGCTTCATTTTAATGTATGATACTGAAGTCCCCAAAGTCAAAACAACAACTTTTAAGACCATAGCAGAGTTGTAACTGTAGGAGAAAGTTTGCCAGTCTGTTCCTACTAGTGACATCTTCTGTTTGCGCAGCTGTTGACTGTAGCAGCTTCTCTTTTTAACTAAAAACAAAGGATCACTTCAGCGTTTGTGAGTTTTATTGTTGAACTCTGATATCTAGAATTGCACTTAGAATAGAAATATTACAAACTTTGATATTTAAGGGTATATAATGTATATATGTACAGATACCAGTTATAACTTGTGTGTGATACTTTTTTGACCATGAGTTGCCTAAGTTCATAAAACTCTTACAAAGTAAAATGAAACAAAGTATAAAAACTTGTTGCAACTTTTGACTTGAGCAAGAAGTTGAATTTGTTTCCAAAGTAATGTATGAGTTGGTACTATTTGGCAGAGAGGTATCATGAAACTTATTATCTTTAAATCATTTCATTTCTTTATATTAGTATTGTTTCCTTTTAATATGGAAATTTGATGTAATCATATTCCTTGCATTTAAAAATTCCTAATGCCTTTTTTTGTTTGTTTTTTGTCCTAATGCCTTCTATACAGATCTATAAAACTGTTCAGAGAGTACTCATATGTTCGGAAAGACTTTAGATTTTTCAAAGATATACTACAAATTAAATTTTCAGTATAGTTAAAATGTGATTTACATTTTCCTTTTTTTTATGCCTATGCATGAACTATAAAAGCAAGTTTCCATTATCTGTGCATTATTGTTGAAAATCTACCTTTTCCCCTAATTTCCTCCTGAGGAAGCATTTATTAGATTAATATTTTATACTTTACACAAATGATTTTTTAGTTCTGTTGATTATCACGGTGAAGATTACGGACTTAGGCTATTAGCATTTGAAGGAGTTTTTGCCTTCAAGGTTGAAATTCAAGAAACCAGCTTCAGGTCACAGATACTGTATTAGTAAATGCAAGTACTATCTCTGTTTCATATTTGGTTAATAGTATAAAAGTAGATTTCAAAGTTTAATCAGGTAGGAAGGATATTGAATTAATACTGCTATAAATAGTTCAGATTTCTTCTCTTCCCACTTCTTTGTAAGTATTCTGAATATTTCCAGGAGGCTCTTTATAGAGAATAATTTATCTGAATAAAGGCTATTTATTAAGCATATCAAGTCTTTAGATTTTATCTTAAGATTTTGGTGCATTTGTTACTGATTACCTTTGTGAGAAACATGCCTGATATTTATCCTGGGAACTCTGCCTTGCTCAGAACTTCCAATAAATGCCATCCTACTGGGTTTGTTGGGCAAAAGTTCTAGTTAGGACTATTGCTTTGAGGTAATTGATTTGAAAGATTGAAACATTGGATTGCATTTCATTTACTGTTTTCTGAAAAAAGTGTATAATATCTTTTTAGATTGTGGTGTTTATGTGGTTTTAAACATTCTACCTTTGCAGAATGTGCCTATAAATTTTTTATGTAATTAAATTTCAAGAATTTGTTGTTAAAAACAGAAGGAAAACTGCATAAAAATAGTGTATAGCTGAATGAATTATAAGGTGGATTCCTTGTAATTATCACTCAAGTTAAGATACAGAACATTGTCAGGCCCTCATAATCTCTCTAGATGCCCTCCTCGTGATCACAACTCTCTTTCACATGAGTAATTTCATATGAGTAATTCCTATCCTGACTTTTATCCCAGATCTTTCTTATTTTTCTTTATAGTTTCATCACCCACATGTGCATCCAAAAATACTTTAGTTTTTTAAATATATCTTTTAAACTTCTGTAGATTTTTTTGTGAGAAAAGATACTAAATACTAAAATGGGAGTACATATTCTGGATTACTTTAGTTTACTCAAGTTGTCTACTGGGAAACTGAAGTACTCATTTTTTTTTTTTTACTAGTTTGTGAACCAGAAGTTTCTTGCTCATATGTTAGGTATTTTTTTTCATTAATCTTGGACACTTTCCTTCCTTTTAATTAAACTATACTTACCTAATTTCCTGAAATGGATAGAAATAGACTGTTTTTTAGACTAGTCAAATAAATATAAAGTGATTATCCTTCAGAACTCTGTTTAATGACTTTCCCTCCTAACAAAATTAGTTAAAAGCATTGTTTTGTCTGAAGAGCTAGATTTCTTACTACCAGCTTTATTTTTGGACTCAAGTCTACTTCCTTGTACTCTTGATTGTTTTAACAGCTTTGGTTATGTAAGAAATGATTTCATTAAAATGCAATAACTTAAAAAAATGCAATAACTTTTGATAAACCTTTCCCTCTTTTATTTGATGGCTTTGCCTTAATAATCATATTTAGTTATTTTAATATGACATTGCTGTTCTTTTGGATGTTTTCTAATACTAAGGATATCTAATTACTATGTGTAAGCCCTGTCTCTTCCATTGTTAAACTGTGGATCTGTATTAAGTTTTTTGCTCCTTTATTAAATGTGTGGTTTACTTTCTCTTTGAAGAATGTCAAGCTGTCAGCTGAGGTAGAGCCATTTATTCCCCAGAAGAAGAATCCTGATACATTTATGATCCCGATGGCACTCCCAAATGATAATGGAAATGTTTCTGGTGTAGAACCAACTCCAATTCCCAGCTACCTGATTACTTGTTATCCATTTGTGCAGGAAAACCAGTCCAATAGGTAATTTGTTTATTATTATTTTCTTTTTTGTAGGGGGTGGGTAAGGAACAGAAATTGGCAAGACATACTTCTTCATTTTTTCCTTTTGTAACTTTTTCTTTTTTCAGGTTTATTTTATTATTATTATTATTATTATTATCTCTACAGCCAACATGGGGCTTCAGTTTGCAAGCTTGAGATTAAGAGTCCCATGGTCCACCAACTGAGTCAGCCAGGCAACCCTCCATTTTAAATATTAAACATTAGCCGTTTCTCTTTTTTTAAGAGAAGTAAATAAAACCAAATGAAGCAGAAATTTTAATTGTTAACATGGGTTATTTTCTCATTCTTTCTAAGAGGAAAAGTTTTTTGACTCCTGAAGTAAGTCATTAAAATTACTTTGAAATAAGTTGATACAAAGGGAGGAATGAATATTCAGAAAGTGGTGAATGGAAACCCTTTTTTAAGTTTAGGTATTTAATCATAATTTCCAGGACAGTTAGGTGTAAGAAGAAAATACCAAGGGATAGTCCTTAACATTGAAGCCTTTATGGTTAACATATATTTCTGGACTCTGATTCTAGTTTAAATTTAGCTTCTGTGCTATAGTCACAGGGTGATTTAGCAAAATGCTTGCAGTTCAGATAATGTGTGACCTGGTGGTTAGGGTGTAGCTTGTGATGGTCATGATAGCCTTTTTAACGCTGCTTAGACTATCTGAGTGATTAGTGCTTTGTTAGTGTAGTTCATGTTACTGCTGTATTAAAGTATTTTTTTTAATGTGCTGTATAAAGTACTTTCAGCCTTTCACAAGTGACATACATAGAAAATACTTCTCTAGCATCCGGGATAAATGGATGAGGCAGGTGAGCTCTAGCCTCTGCCCAGCCCCCCAAAAGCAAAGACAGTATTTCTGCACCCCCCTTATAAGCCATGGTGTGGCACACTAGTATGCCAAGGCACATTCTTTCAGATATTTTCGATGTAAGAGATATGAGACCGCGAAGCTGCTGTATGAAATATGAACTATTCAGGTTAATAATTTCTAAAACCCTGTAGTTTTCAGGGTTGGACAAAGAGTAAGGGATCCTTCTCAGTCGAAGTTCGCATAATGTCAAAAAATTTTGACCTATATCGGGCTATGTTTAAAGCAACTTAAAAACCAAATTTAATAATACTATTATTTTTGTATTTGACAAAATGGCCTAGTATAAAGTACAATTAATTTTTCTTTTTAAAAAAAAATATTTTATTTATTTATTTAACAGAGAAAGAGAGATCACAAGCAGGCAGAGAGGAAGGCAGAGAGAGGGGAAAGCAGGCTCCCTGCTGAACAGAGAGCCTGATGTGGGGCTCCATCCCAGGACCCTGAGATCATGACCTGAGCCGAAGGCAGAGGCTTAACCCACTGAGCCACCCAGGCACCCCTCAATTAATTTTTCTTACCATACTAAATAATCTTTGAGAATTCATGAGTAAACCAGCCAGTGGATTAAAATTATTTTTTTTAAATTATGACTGAGCATTTTTCCATTGTGCTTTGCTGTGGGATTAGTGAGGAAAAGCTCAATGCTCCAGCCCCCCATGACCCCTCATTCTTCAGCAGCAACCTTTTGTAAGGACTGCTGAGACAGGAAGAGTCTTGCTGATGCTGCATAGGAATTGCACTAGGAAAGGCTCTAATGCTAGAGATAGGATGGCAATGTTAGGCTTGCCTCTTCTTTCTTTCCCTTGGACTTGGAACCTGCTTCCATTGTCAAGGAGGGGAGCCAGGAAAAGAGCTTGACTTGGCCAGATGGTTCCGGGAGTACAGGAGAGGAGTAGGAGGCCCTGGGACTGAACTGAAGAATGAGAAGTGGAAGAATCAAATCACCCATTGTAATGGTCACCTTACACAGTGTTCACTTTACCCTGCTTTTTGCAGAGGCCATCACAGTGGTTAGCATTGGATGGGAACTTTGGATTCCTTTGTTTACAGATCCAGCAGCTAGGGGTTTAACTTCTAGGCAGAAATACCTTGAGGAGGTTGAGGAGAGAGTTATAAATAAGAATGATATGTACTTTTAAAATTTTGCAATGCAGTAGATCAGGTTGAATTCCTTTATACTGTCATTTAAGTTGTTACTACATGTATATAATAATCTCTACAGCAAAGAAATAAGGTGATAATTTTATCTCCTTTTTATTATGAAGGCACCTGTCTGCACTTTTTAAAATTAAAATGCATTAAGAAATTTTGCTTCAGCATTATTTTCAGACTTCTCAATAGATTTGTTTTTTGTTTATTTGCTTTTAACAGACAGTTTCCGTTATATAACAATGATATACGATGGCAACAGCCCAATCCAAATCCTGCTGGACCATACCTTGCCTACCCCATTATATCTGCTCAGCCACCTGTTTCTACAGAGTATACATATTATCAGCTGATGCCAGCACCATGTGCCCAAGTTATGGGATTCTATCATCCTTTTCCTACACCTTACTCCAATACCTTTCAGGCTGCAAATACTGTAAATACTATAACCACAGAATGCACTGAGCGTCCAAATCAGCTTGGACAGGTCTTCCCATTGTCCAGTCATCGAAGCAGAAACAGTAACAGAGGACCAGTTGTACCAAAAGTAAGTAACTTTTTTTGATTGGCTTTTACGTTTGATATTTCTGTTGTTAATAATAATGGAAGTAATTTGCTACTTGTATTGATTAGCTTTCATGCTGAATTTACTATCACATTCCATTCACTGTTATAAAATAGTAAAGGATAGAGCATTTATAAAATAATTTTTCCTGTTTTTTATTGTGCCTTATTCTTAATTGATGATATGATTTACAGCCATCCTCAGGTTCCTTGAGAGTTTTACATAATCATTATACACAGGTATTTCCAAATTGTTTTAATTTAATGATAAAAATTGCATAGTGACACCAGTATTTGTAAGTGGTAGTTTGGATCCTATGCCAGTGGTGTTGAATGACTAATGCACTTCATATATTTCAGTCCTCAGAAATCAGCAGGAGATACTATGGAGGACATTTGTGATTCATTCAATCCCTTCTACTTCATTGTTGCTATTCTGTGAATTTTTAGTAGCAATAGCACTTTATTATTCAAGTGTTGCTTTACTATATTATATGAATACAAGGTCTCCTTGAGCTGAAGAAAATGAAAGATAAATGTGTGAAACCACCAAAGATCAGCCTTTGGACTAAGTTAAAAAAAAAAAAAAGGGAGACACAAAGGCCTTGAAAACACAAGAGATTTAAGGTTTATTCTAGGTAACTATTTCTTAACTAAAAGGTTACTTTTATATTGAGGCCTTAATGCAAAGCAAGTAAAAAGAAAAACATGTTTCTTCTCAGCAGTTTTGAGCTAATAGAAGGCAGAGTGATTTCCTAAATGCATCTTACGGTTCTATCGTCAAGGAGTTGATGCTTTCGTAGATTCCATTAGCCTAATTTCTTCAGTGAAAAATCTTTGATGTTTTTTGGCATACTTTTTACAAATTAAAATACAAACATGCAGCCAGCTTGCTTTAAAAAGCTTTTAGTCTTTGTTCATCGAAAGACTAGGTCAAGGGAAATTGTTTTGGGACCTCTGGAGAATGTAAAGAAACAATTATGGGAAATAATATAGTAAAATATAACTTTCAGTTGCTAAAGAAACATGATTTTTCCGAGTGCCTTTCCGGCACTTCACTTTAGGAAGTTAAATTCAGAATTCTGTTGTATAAATTGCTATTAAGTGATGAATACTCCTGTTTTAAAAAATGAAGGAAAGGCTCAACTTTTTTATATTTTGTTTTTAAGCTCTAAAGCAGAAATTTTTTGGATTTTCTTCCTATCATGAAAGGAAAATTTATCTCCTGGATGAGCTACTTTTTTAGTACCCTTTTTAGTACCTTTTTAGTACTACCTTTTTAGAACCCTTCTAAATAAAAATTTACAAACCCTTATATGACATGTTATACTTCTATCATTTATTATTTATTGAGAAAATATGAAGTACAAGTAATATAACGTATATTAATAGTTTATTAGTCATAGTAGTGTTAATAGTTATTTGAAAAATAGTATTAAAATGTGTATCTATATCATTTAATGTATAATTAAATGCAGATAATGTCATGAATTCCTAACACAGTGACTCTCTTTCCCCATGGGTTGGGAGCCACTAATTTAGAGCATACATTTAGGTGTGTTTCATAGTGGATATGTATTTTATAATGTACTACACTGAGTAGGATTTTAAATTATTATTTTTGTGTGTATGTGCTTAAATCAGCAACAGCTTTTACAACAGCATATAAAAAGCAAAAGGCCACTGGTGAAAAATGTAGCTACTCAGAAAGAGACAAATGCAGCAGGTCCTGATAATCGATCAAAAATTGTGCTTCTGGTAGACGCTTCACAACAAACTGGTAAGCAAGAGTGTTTATGTATACATCATTGATTTTCATCTGTTTTCATGTATTGGTTTTATAATTGTGGGCCGTACCATGTTTCAGGATTCTAGACTTTCATCCTTTCATTTATCCTGCCACTTTGTGAAATTCTCTAAGAAGGATAAAAGCAGTCCATATCCATAATGTTCTTTCAGCTTGTTTGCTGGCTAATGTGCAATTTTGAGGAGGATTTGAGGTGTCCTTATTCTTGAGTAGTAGCGGAGCAGTTCAGAAATCAGAGATGGAATATTGCAGACATTGTAAGAATTTGAGGACTCATTTTGGCAGAAATCAAATTTGTATGTTTTTATAAATAGTTTAAAACTCTTTATAAAATACTCTAATGTTATATAATATCTTTATAGAAATAACTTGGCAAGTTTTCTGTGCCACATTTTAGCATAGATCTGAAACAAACATGAGTGGCATATATATCCTATCAAGCAAGTAAGAATTTTGGACTAGTTGGATATTTTTTGTCCAGAGTTTATTAGAAGACTATATATAAATTTTAAGGAAGCTTCATTCTGGTAATAGATAAAAATTAATATTTTCCAGTTTATATCATTAAACTCTAGTTTGTATCTCTGATCTCAGCTTAATGGCTACAGAGTAGATAGATAACTCTCTCTTCACCCATAGTCACTGATGCTAGTAAAAATTTTTGTTAATGATCCAAGGCCAAGAATTAGATCTGCTCAAAGGTACATTTACTTTTTACCCCTCTGTAGTTTCCACTCTGACTTAAAATAAATTTGACGGTGCATACTTTCTTTCATTTGGGTTGCACCTTTTTGTTTGTGATATAAATTCAGGTTTTTTGTTTTGTTTGTTTTGTTTTGTTTTTGCAATTGCTTAGATCCATTAGGAGTAAGAGGATCTGGGAATCCATTGAAAAACAGTCTTGTTGCTGGTACAGTCATTGTGTGTAGTTTGTAATCATAAAGCAGTGAGATTAATGGACTAACAAATGCTTGGAGAGGCTATAGAAAAGAATCACAATGTAATACATTACAAAGTTTTCTATGTTTTGGTTATTCCTAGTTATAGTGACTTCCTTCTACATGCTTTAAACCCTGGGACTGCTTTTAAAAATCCTTACTTCTTTAGTTTGCTCATTTAGTGACCACAAAGACAGTCTTCTGAAGCATAAGAATTAGAAAATGAATAGATTATCCACTAGCAAAACAAAAAGACAGCCTACTGAATGGGAGAAGATATTTGCAAATGGTATATCCAATAAGGGTTAATATCTAAAATATTTACTCAGTACCAAAAAAACCCCAGATAATCCAATTTAAATTGGCCAGAGGATCTGAACAGACATTTTTCCAAAGAAGATCTACAAAAGGCCAGCAGACACATGAAAAGATGCTCAACATCACTAATCAGGGAAATATAAACCAAACCGCAACAGTATATCACCTTACCCCTGTTAGTGTGGCTAGAATAAAAAAGACAAGAAATAACAAGTGTTTGTGAGGATGTGAAGAAAAAAGAACCCTCATGTATTGGAAATGTAAATTGGTGCAGCTGCTATGGAAAACAGTGTGGACATTCCTCAAAAAACTAGAACTAGAAATACCAAGTGATCCAATAATTTCATTACTGGGTATTTTACCCCCCAAAATGAAAACACTCATTTGAAATGATATATTCACTCCTATGTTCATTGTGCCATTATTTACAATAGCCCAGATAAGGAAGCAATCCAAATGTCCGTAAGTAAATGAACGGAGAATGGATAAAGAAGATGTGGCGTGTATATATAATGGAATATTACACAAGCATAAAAAAGGATAAAATCTTGCCATTTGCAACAACATGGGTGGACCCAGAAGTTTTAATGCTAGGTGAAATAAGTCAGATGGAATCTTAAAATCTTATATGTGGAATCTTTAAAAAAGGGGAGGGGATCCCCTGCAGAAATAGGCCCATGAACATAGAGAACAAAAATTGATGGTTGCCAGAGGGTTGGGAGTAAACTGATGGTAGCTACACTTGTGGTGAGCAAAGTGTAATGTATAGACGCTTGCAGCATCACTATGTTGTACACTTAGAACTAATGTAATATTGTATGTCAACTATGCTTTGATAGAAGTGAAAAGAAAATGAAAACGAAGGTAAAATTTGATTAGAAGATAATACCTTTTATCAGTATTCCTACTTTTTAGTTTTTTTCAAATTCTGAGGATTTTACATTCTGTTAGTATTTTTGTTTAATTTGTTTTTAATTTCTGAGGATTAATTGGTAGTCACAGATAGACTGAAATATTAGAACTTAAAGGAACTTGTAACAAGTTGTTATTCTTGAACATAAGCTTGTATTTAATGAGCTTAACAAGAATACTAGGTATACTATACAAAAGTGTGTTTCAGTGTGTTACAAACAAAATTTGAGAAAAGGTGGCATTTATAATAGCAAGAAATATATAAGTTTCTGGGAATGAACTTTGCAAAAGATGTACCAGACATTTATGCAGAAAATCTTTTTTTTTTTTTTTTTTTTAATTTATTTGACAGACAGATTACAAGTAGGCAGAGAGGCAGGCAGAGAGAGAGAGAGAGAGAGAGAGAGGGAAGCAGGCTCTCTGCTCAGCAGAGAGCCCGATGCGGGGGCTCGATCCCAGGACCCTGAGATCATGAACTGAGCCGAAGGCAGAGGCTTTAACCCACTGAGCCACCCAAGCGCCCCCTATGCAGAAAATCTTAACTTTATGGTAGGACATTTAAAAAAAAACAACAACTAGATATCCTATTCGTATAGGACGATTTGATACTGCAGATGTCACTTTCCCCATGTCAGTACTCAGTCTGTAGATTCAGTGCAGTTCTAATCAAAATTTTAATAGGAATTTTTTGGGAACTTGATAAACTAATTCTAAAAGGATCATTTGTCTGAAAAGAACTTTTTTTCTAAATATCAAGACCTATTAAACTATCTTACTTCTTGTAGACTTATATAAAAAATGCACTATGCAAAAGTTAGAACAGGGGACCCAGAAGCAGATTCACATGTATGTGAAAACACGTGGAAAATAACAGCATTACGGATACCTAATTTACACCCCATGTAAATCTTTTTAGGTGGATTAAGGACAAATGGGAAAACCACAGTAGAAGAAGATATAAGCAGATATCTTTATGACTGCAGGGAGAGAACTATTTCTGAAATAAATTCTATCAAAAGTGAGTGAAAGAATAAGCCACAAACTTGGAAACGATTTTTACGATGCCTATCACTAATAAAGTATTAGTATGAAGACATGAAAAATTCATATGAATGAATAAGAAAATGATCCCACCTTGTTCTCAGGGCCTTGGGACACAGCACCAGGGGGCTGAAACAGTGTGGTGGGACTATAGGAATCTTTCCTTTGACCCAATTGTCCTTCTCCTGTTACTATATCTAAAATGGATATATTTCCCTAGAAAGAAAAAGGACTGTTTGAAAAAGATCCAAATTGCAGCAGCACACTGAAAGCTTCCTAATGTTTAGTAACGGGTGACGAGAAGTGTAGAACATTCACTCAGTGGAATAATATGGAGCCTTCTCACATTATAATTTTGAAGAACATATACATAATCTTAAATAGCCCAACTCAAAATTGTATTGATGCTGTGTAAAAGTTATGGGAAGAAATATAGAAAAAGGAAAATTGTTATTTGTTAGAATAGGAGGACATTGCAAGAGTTTTTTAAATGTCTTTTGATTATAATTTCTGAAATTGAAAAATAAAGAGACAACTTAGTAGAAAAATAGGCAGAAGTTAAACAATCCAAAAATAAAATTAAGTATTTCACAGAAGAGAAAACAGTAGTAGCTAAAAGCATTAGAAAAGATACCAAACCTCATGATTAGGCAAGAAAATACAAATTAAAACTCAAAATGAGCCATCTTTTTATATCTAACAATTGACAGAAATTATAGCCTAGCAGACAGTATCAAGCATTTGGTGACCAAATGGATCACTGTGGATATTTATATCTTCTTTCGGGTTATAAACTGTTTTAAGCAGTTTGCCTGAAAATGATTTGGCATTACCAAGTAAAGTTGAGTATGTGTATCCCATGAGGCCTAACAGTATTATTTAATAATGCAAAACCCCAAAACAGTCCCAGGTGTCCCATCAGTGGTACAAAGGATAAGTACTTTGTGGTATGTTCATCATACATAGGCATTCTAGATTCCAGTGACATTAATGAATTACAGCCACATGCATTAGAATCTCAAAACTAATGTTGAGGGGATGGGGCACACTGGGAAGCAGGTCACAAAAGAAAATGGACAGTATAATTTCATTTTTATAAAGTGAAAACTGTAAAATTACATGATTTATGTTTTAGTAATACAAAAATCCATGAAAAAAGTATTTTAAAAAGTGAGGAAATGATAAACACAGAATTCCATGTGGAGGTAACTTCTGGGGGAGGAAGAGGATGTAGTGGTAGAGAGGGTATGCAGTGGACTTCAAAAAGATTGGTAGTGTTATTTTTCTGAAATGGGTAATGGTGGTTTGTTTTAATATTTATACAAATATTTTATTCTCTTGTCATAATAAATACATGTCATAAACCAGCTTGTCAGGAACATCTTACCTTTTGATGATCTTCCCACCCAAAATTTTTACTTTTCTTCATTTACAAAGTTAGATATCTTTATTTTCTTATGACCTTAATGATAATTTAACAAGAATTTATCAGTTTGGTCCTCACAAAGAGATGTCACACCTTCCTTGCTTTATAGATTTCCCATCAGATATTGCTAACAAATCTCTCTCGGAGAGCTCTGCCACAATGCTCTGGAAGTCCAAAGGCAGGAGGAGAAGAGCATCCCACCCGACTGCAGAATCCTCCAGTGAGCAGGGGGCTAGTGAAGCTGACATTGACAGTGATAGTGGCTACTGCAGTCCCAAACACAGCAACAACCAGCCGGCAGCAGGGGCTTTGAGAAATCCCGATTCTAGCACCATGAATGTATGTAACATTGCTTTGATTCCTTTATTGGTCACCTATGTCAGTATTATCTTTATATCTTGTCTCAAGCTTAAGTATCTATTTTCATTAACAATTCCTGTAGTTATAGACTGGATTAAAATGTATTTTGTATATTAATATGAAAAATACATATAGAGAAGTGTTTTTCTCAGATTGTAAATAAGCATGCTTCACACTAGACTAAGTTATAAAACATATTGCAAGGCATATGGTATTGACTCTAAAGCGGAAAATAATTGTCTTTTTTGTTTTTATTTTTAGCATGTGGAATCATCTATATGTACAGGTACTTATTTTCTGCATAGTGTTTTTGCTATACTTTCTTCTTTGTCCATGTCAGAGCTTTGCTTTCAAGCATGAAGCCTGCTGATACTGCAGAAAAAATTAGAAATCTTCCAAAGAGATTCACCTTACTTTGAAAGTACAGTTGGGCTGATAAAACTTGAGAAAATTTCTCCGTTGAGAAATTGGGGTATTCTGCAAGATGGCACTTCTATTACTAAGAATTGGAATACCACTTAAATTTTGTAGAGAAATTTCCAGTTTTGTGTTTATAGTAACTGACTTTCAATTTACAAAGTTAAGGGATAATTTAGGTTTTGGCATCTTTCATAAATAAATCATATTTTTAATCTCATTGGTTACAGGTAGTGTAAATTGGTCCAATGTAACTTGCCAGGCAACTCAGAAAAAACCTTGGATGGAAAAAAATCAGACATTTTCTAGAGGTGGAAGGCAGACTGAACAAAGAAATAATTCACAGGTAATTTGAATTAGGTTGGAGAAACTTGAATTATTATAAATGGTATAGTGGTCTTGAAGGGCAATATCCTTAATTTTTTTTTTTAAGATTTTATTTATTTATTTATTTATTTATTTGTCAGAGAGAGAGAGAGAGAGAGAGAGCGCGCGCGCACAAGCACACAGAGTGGCAGGGAGAGGCAGAGAGAGAAGTAGTCTGCCCGTTGAGCAAGGAACGCAATGTGGGACTTGATCCCAGGACCCTGGGATCGTGCCCTGAGCCGAAGGCAACAGCTTAACCAACTCAGCCACCCAGGTGTCCTTAATTTTTGAAGATGCATATTGTATTACATAATCATAAAATACCATGACATCTGTAACTTTAAAATGGCTTAGCCAGTAAAGTTATTATTTAATGAGACAAAATGAAAATCTTGGTTATAGGTGATGTGTATATAGGTGTATATTGCGCTATTTTCTACTATATTGTATTTAAGAAATAGATTTGGATATTTCATAGTTTTAAAAAAGAATATCCTCCAATCCTGCTTCATCTGCCGTGACTTTTTCTTATCCATATAAAAAATTTAAAAACATTTTAATGCCACAAATATTGATTCTTTGAACTTTAGGACTGTGGCCTTGTTCATGTGTCTTTACTAGACCATAAACATCATAAGCTATGCACTCTGTGCTTGTTGCAGGGCCATAGTAATTGCTGCCTCATGCTGTAATGTAGCCAGACTGGGTGGCTTCCTGGTTTTGGGGAACAATATCTAGCTGCCATACAGCTGAGCAAGTTATATACCACCACAGATTGCCAGTAACTGTCTTCTTTAGTTGGTTGATTGTGAAATCAGGGATTTGTTTGTTGGTCAGCGTTTTTTCCTTTTCAAGTTTTAGATAGACTTCCTGGATTCCTTAAATCTAGTTAAGGTATTAAAAGTATCATATGAATAGATCTGTGGATGAACTGAAATAGGAGTAAGTTACTAATGGATTAAATAGACCAAATACTTGCCTGCTCATTTGCTTCCCTGAAATGAAGGGCGTCAGCTGCTCCCTAACATTAATTAGACTGTCAGGAAGACAAGCAGAATAATGCCCTTTCCCCTATGGTTATTGCAAAAATGAGTCATTGTTTGTGGCACCCATGAGAGGCAGTCTAGCTTTATTTGATTAGAAACAAAAGAGCTAAAACAAGAATTGTTTATACAGATGAAATAAACAGAATCTATAAAATGTTTAGCTAAGTGCTGAAATTTTATGTTGAAATTGTAACTTGTTAGACTTTTGGTATCCGTGGCCCACTGGAGAGGAAGTAGTACAGCTATTGAGCCTCCAAACTGGTGAAGAATAATAAAAGAATAATAAAAAAGTATGCAAATACATGTAATATATTAGGTTTTGCTTATTTTGTATCTCTCTTCATTCCAAAAGAACTGGAGCCAGATGTTGAATAATGTGTTTTCTACTTCTGATGTGTTGTTAATACTTATTCTGAAGTATGTGTTTGATTTGTGATGTGCAGAATTTTTTTTTTCTGTTAAGTCAAAATATTTTCCCCTTTTGCAGTTTCTGATTGTTTTTAGGCTTAGAAAGTATTTTAGAAATGACATATTCACTTGTATGTTCCACTACCTTTTTATAGGATAATGTTGCAAGAACTTTTTATCTGAAATTTATTTTGAAGCATGATACAATGATGTAGATTTTCAAAGTAGTTAACCAGCTGTTTGAAAATCATAATCCATTCTTTTCTCTCATTTGCTAATTTCTTACATCTTAGGTGCTGTTTCTGGGCTGTTTTATTCCATTTATTAGAATTTGATACCTGTACCATGCTGTTTTCCTTCTGATTTTTAATATTTTTACTATGTTTTAACACTTGAACAGACAGGTTCTTCCTATAATCTTTCATAACCTTAATTTTAAATAATGTACAGAATCTAAAAACTTAAATTTTCAAAAATGGTTTTATTTTGTGAATTGGTTGAAAAATAGAAGAGATGAAAAAGGTTATATGATGAAAAAAAACCTCATTTTCACTCTCTCCCCTTGTCTTATCTTTCCTATATCTGTCCCAATTTGAGTAGTTTCTTATGTATTTTCCCAGAGTTTCTTCATGTCATTCTAAGTAAATACAGTTGTGTATCTTATGTTTTATCCACTCTGTTCTGTGCTCTGCTTTCATCACTTAACAGTGTATCTTGAAAACATTTTCTATAGTATCACAGGGCTTCCACAGTTTTTAAAAAATAACTCGTAATGTTTGGAGTGTGGATATACTTGTTGATTTCTGTAGTCTTCCTATTCATGGACATTTGAGTTGTTTGAATTTGTTGCTATTGTAGACATATTGCAGTATCATTTAGAAATGTATGTGTATAGCAGTAAATTCCTAGGTAAGGGACTGCTGAGTGAAAAGGTAAAGCCACTTCTGTTATTTGATTGTATCGGCCAACCCTACCACTTAAGTCTCAACAATAATGTGGCAAGTACCTTTTTCCATATAGCTTCAGAAATCATGTGTTTTCAGGATTTTGGATTTGTGCCAATTAGGTGGAAATGGTGTATGAATGTTGTTGAGCATCTTCCCATGTATTTATGGGCTGTTCTTATTTTTTTGTTAACTTGTCTGATCGTATCTTTTGCCTTTTTTTTTTTTTTTTTGGTATCTTGACCTGTTTTTTTTCTTTTTTTTTTTTGGTATATTTTTAAAATCAGTTTCTCCATCAAGCTCTTACCAGATTTTTAAAAAATTTGGGAGCCTTTAGTTTGTAATATGAGTTACAAATATTTTGCTAGGCTTTCATTTTTATTTTTGACTTTGCTCACTATTATTGCCATACACCAGTTTATGTTTTAAATAGCATTAAGAAGTTTATATATTGAATTTATTGCTTTTTGTTTTTGTTTTTTAAAATGGCTTTTGAGTTTTAATGCCAAGTCCTTACTCTAGGGTTATAAAGGAATTACCTGTTTTCCACTAGTGTGTTTTTATTCTTGTTTTTTATATTAAATCTTTATTCCACTTGGGTTTGTGTTGTGCATGGTGTGAAATATAGTTCCACTTCATATACTCCAAGTGACTACCCAAATTTCCAGCACCATTCATTGAAAAGTCCATCTTTTCACTGATTTGATATTAACCACTTTCATCATCTATTAAATTCCCAGGTATATTGAAATCTAGTTCTAGAATTTCTGTTTTGTTCTGTATTAATCATTAAATTAATCTATCAACTTAGGGAGGGTGGATTACCTTTGTGATGTGGCATCTTCCTATGCAAAAAACTATATGTCTTCTTATTTTTGAGTCATCTTTTTAGGAGGTAATTGGTAAACGTGCAAATTCAGTTCTCATGAACTTTGTTGGGACATTAGTTTGGGGGTTTTAATTTAATCCTGGAGCTTTATGTCTCCCAAGTATAAGAAATCAAGTTCCATTTTTTTTTAATTGCTTTAGTGTTTGTAGCAACATTAATATGTATTTAGTAAATTATTTATAACAGGGTTTATTTTTGGATATAATTTTAATGCTTTTGGCGAGCAGGTTTACATTTACTTTTTTGTCATGGTGACTGTCCACAGAAATGCAGAGTTGTGCTCAGGAATTACTCTCTTGCTTTTTGGGCATACCTGTCTTGGGGCTTGAATATGAGTACTCACTTCAGTGTTAATAATTTATGTGAATTAACTTGTTTCTTTATTACCTAGACATTAAAATTGCATTTGTTTTACCAGTCTTGTATGAGCCTTTTTTCATGGACCTATTTTTAAAACATTTTACAAAAATTGCTAAAATAGTGAAGTTGAAGTATTTTTATAGAGAACATTCATACAGCTACCAGTTAGAGGCTAGCTAACATTTTACTGAGATTTGTTTCATCTTGTGTGTATTCCTCTGTCCATATCTCTATCTATGTTTTTGAGCCTATTTTAAAATGAGGTAGATATTTAAAATTAAGAAACTGTTGAGTATCTGGAAGAATATTTAAAATTAAGAAACTGTTGGGTATCTAATTATAGGAAGTAGCCCAGTTGTCATAGTGCATACTCTAAGGAAGAATTAAATTTGGTGTATGACCGTCTTCTCTGGCTTATTGTTCTGCCATGTAACCTGCCTCCCAAAAGAGTATAAAAATTCTGTTTCTTAAAAAAAATTCTATTCCTTATCAGCAAGTCTTTTTAGACCAATTACTTAGTATGGGAATTGCTAGGTGGTTTTCATGTCTTTGTGTGCATAATTTTGATTTCATCATCAAAAACATGTATATTAGCACCTTCTGTTCTAGATCTGCTTCAGGTTCTATTTATTGTTAGAATTTGGGGGTAACTGGTAATGAAGATTATACTTTTCACATCTTCTAGGTGTCCTGGTTAAGAGAGGTATTTCATGTTAGCTGCATTGGGTACTTAAGAGGAGGATCTTGAAATGTCTTAAAATTCTTACAAATCTTGCCCTTATGACCATTGAACATTTCACAGATTTATTAATAGGATAACTTATAGATTGAATGAAAATTTTGTTCTAAATCTATTTTCCTGGAAATAAGTTTTAATTTTTAACCTTTCCTAGAAATTGTTTTTTAAAAAAATAAAACCACAGATGTTAGACTTATAATAGTTTAATAGGGTACTGTGCAGTTTCTTCCAATGAGAACATCTTGCAAAACTGTGGTCCAATGTCACAACCTGGATATTATCATTGACACAAGGAAGAACAGCCATCACTGCAGGGATCCCTCATGTTTCTGTTTTATAGCCACATTCCTTTCCTCTTCTGGCCAGCCTCTCGTTAACCCCTAGAATCCACTGACCTGTTCCCCCCTTTCAATAATTTGTCATTGCAAGAATGTTTTATAAATGAACTCATACAGTCCTTTTAGGATTGGCTTCCTCACTTGCATGGCTTTCTGGGGATTCATCCAGATTATTGAGTACATCAAGTTTGTTCCGTTGGGTGGCTGACTGTTGTTCAGTAGTAGGGATGTACCCCAGTAAGTTTAACTGTTTTCCCAATTAAGGACATCTGAGTTGTTTCCAGTTTTTGGCTATTACAAGTAAAGCTGGTTAAACGTTCATGTATGAGGTGGAGGGGAGGAGGGAAGTAACTTGCATTATCACATTTTTGATTTCCCTTAAAATGATCTTGTCAAAAGCTCTTTAACAAAACTTCTATAGTAAATTGTACACTTTATGAAAATTCATTGAGTTGTATACTTTCGTGTACTTTTCTATAAGTATGTTATACTTCAGTAAAATGTTCACTTAAATAATCTATTTTTTTCTTTTGGTGCTTACTTAGGTTGGATTCAGATGCCGAGGACACAGTACTTCCTCAGAAAGAAGACAGAATTTGCAAAAGAGACAAGATAATAAGCAATTAAACACCAGTCAGTCTCATAGAGGCGACTCAAATTCTGAGTCTTTATATTTTGAGGTATTTTTTCAGGCTTTATTTGTAAACTATTATAGCAAATGTTCCCATTAAGAAATGAATTTTCGGGGTGCCTGGGTGGCTCAGTGGGTTAAATCCTCTGCCTTTGGCTCAGGTCATGATCTCACGGTCCTAGGATGGAGCCCCACGTCAGGATCTCTGCTCAGCAGGGGAGCCTACTTCTCTCTCTCTCTGCCTGCCTCTCTGCCTATTTGGGATCTCTGTCAAATAAATAAATAAAATCTTTTAAAGAAAAGAAATTAATTTTCTTACATTCTGATAAGTACTTTTTATGACTGTTATTAGATCATAAATTACTCAGAAGTATTGATTCATTTTTGTCTAGGATATGTATAGTTAGTGTAATAGTTAATAATAGTAATGAAGTTATAGTTAACTTCATTAATGTCTATTTTTATAATTTTCGTCATGAGGTAACGTGTAGAGGTAGAGCTTGATTTTATGTTGGTTTCTTCTAGTATGAAACTTTCTCCCTAATTTTTATTATTATTGTTTAGTCTCTTTTTCAAGTTTTTTTAGATTTGAATGGTTTGGTCTAGGTAATTTGTGCTGCTAGCCAGGAGAATCTTGAAGAAGAAAAAAAAAAGTTAATTTATTTTCTCTAATAGGCAGAAAGTTTGTATTCTGCTTGGAGTATTTTTATTGTTTATTCATCTAACTGACTCTTATTGGAGGCCTGTTATGTGTAAAATAAGTTTCTGTGAATGATACATTGAGTAAACACAGTGGCCTTAGGAAGGTTGCTGTATAGTAATGTAGATGCATATACACCTAGTACTTGCTTAGGTGTGGTTGGGGTTGAAACCTTTGGGTTTGGAGTAGGTTAGAGACAATCTTTGGAATAGACTTTAAAGAATCAGTAGAATCTGGTTGTGTCAGGATAGTGAACAACATCCCAGGTAACTCATTTGAATAACTCATTTTTGTTGGATCATAGTTTTTGTAAAATGGGTCAGTAGGTGGAAATTAAACTAGCAAATGTGCTTTAGGCCAGAGACTAGAAATGAATAATATGTTAGATAACTTAGTAATTGACCTAAAGGACTTGAGAATGCATCTCTATTCAGTTATCGAGAACATGTAGCAGATTTATTATTTGCACTTAACCATATAATTGGTTCCATCCTTATACTTAAAAATATTAGATATAATTTCCACTCTAAAGGAGGATATTGGTTAAGAAATTACTTTGAATAGGATTTTCTTTTAAATTTTTATACTTTTAACCTTATTGACAGGTATGTGTAGTATTACAGGACAGGAATACTAAGCTTTCTGTTGAAAATATTCTCCAAATTATCTGAAATATAAAAAACCCTTTTTTATTTCTTTTCAATTATGTATTTTAAAAATTTTAAAAATTTTAAAAATAGAATTAATTAAAATGGGATAGTAGACACAGAAATCCAAAGAATGGACATGAACAGATATGCCCCCACTGATGAATAATAAAGTTAGCTATGTTGTAGCATGTGAGAAATGAGATTTCCTTTTTAAGACTGACTTTAGTCTAGTATTAGAATTTTAAAAATTACTTCCCCATTTTTCATTACTCTAAAGCTTTATAAAACATTTTTCTTAAAGAGTTTATTGATTTGAACTGTTTTTACTTAAAATGTGAAATTATTTCAGGATGAAGATAGATTTCAAGAACTAAATGAGAGTGGAAAAGTTAAAGATGAGACTATTCAGCAGAAACTTTCTTCAAAAGTAGTAAGTGACTCTTTAAAAAGATAAGCAAAGTATGTGAACATCCCTTGAACTGTGGCTATGTTGAAAAGTATTATAGGTTAGCGTAAAGACGTGGGGCACCATGGTAGAGAAGAAAACCATGTATTTGGTACTTAATATTTATTTTCAACATAGCCAGAACAAAGATACTTTCCTGTAAAATCCATAGTTCTGTTGGGGACAAGAAAACACCATTAATTGAATCATATCATTCAGCATACAGTCCATTTCCTCTGTTGTCGCGAAACTTTACTTGGGAGTTATTTTGTTCTCAGGCCAAGATGTGGATAAGTGTCACCAATTGCATTAAGCAGTTTGTCTCTTTATTATTTTCCAGTCTGGAAGGATCCACCATTTCACTTTGTTCTTTATGGCATTGAATCCTCAAAGATTCCAGTCCAGATATAGTATAGAACATCCCACATTCTGGATTGTCTTTCCTTACGGTTAGACCTTTGTTAAATCACTAACAAATGTTTTTGTCTGGTTATCCTAGTTGGATGATTTACCTGAAAACTCACCAATCAATATAGTTCAGACTCCAATTCCCATTACAACCTCAGTTCCTAAACGTGCAAAAAGTCAGAAGAAGAAAGCTTTAGCAGCAGCCCTTGCCACAGCTCAAGAATATTCAGAAATAAGTATGGAGCAAAAAAAACTACAGGTATTTTTTTCATATTTATGAACAGGTGTAATTGGGAGGTTTGGCAGGGGATGCACAGAAGGAGTGACAGTCATAAATTGCCACACTTAAATGCCATCACAAAAAATAAATGTTCCATTTATCTTGCAGGAAGCTTTATCAAAGGCAGCTGGGAAAAAAAATAAAACCCCTGTGCAGCTAGATTTGGGGGATATGTTAGCAGCTCTGGAAAAACAACAACAAGCGATGAAAGCACGGCAGATTACTAATACCAGACCTCTGGCATATACAGGTGATTTCACTATCTGAGCAATTTCCTCTTTGGTTTTGGTAATAGTTTTTGAATATTATTAATGTTAATTGCATTTATCTAGATAATCCAGAGTCTACTCACCAGCTCCTCTCCTGTTACGCTCGTAACTCGCATCCTTGTATTACACTGCAGTAGCCCACTATTACCTCCTGCAGCCTATCTTAAAAGGAGTGATTTTTTAAAAATATAAACAGGATTATATCACTGCACTGCTCAGAACACTACAATAGCTCTTGATCTCACTTGGAGTAAAGCCAGAGTCCTAAGGCCAGATCTTAGCTATCCAATGACCTTTTCCCCCCATCACCATTCTCTCTGACACAAACTGCTCTAGCCAGTCGGCCCCCTTGCTGGCCCCCTTGCTGTTCCGCAGACACACCCAGCATGCTCCTAGCTCAGTATCTTTGTGCTTAGTATGTCTTTACCCTGACACTCTTTCCTTATATACCAGTGTGGTTTGTTCTCTCATGTCTTGTAGGTCTCGGTTCACATGTCAGTTGGTATACATTATAAAGTAGCTAATGTTTTTCTTCTTCAGGGGTTGAAATAAGAATCACAAGTAATTTGGCTTTATAACTTTTAAATTGGATACTGGGAAACATAGGAGTTATGATCAAGGGGTGTGTGTGCATGCATATACATGCGTGTATATGTGTGTATGAGAGAGAATGACTGATTTGGCTTTCTACTGAAATGGCAATGTATATTTTAATAAACCTTGTCAAATTTAGAGCTGAGCAGCTCTTATGTGCTCCCTCATTTCTTTGCATAGCCTTTGTTGTAGAGGGAGAGGAATAAGATAAAGGAAAGGGAAAGACACCAACAAAAAGCATGATGTTAAGAGGCAGAATTGGAATATTCTCTTTCTTCTGTTGTATGTAAAGGGTCTGTTGTTTTTAGACAAAAAGATAATTAACATTGTAGAACTTTAATTCTGTATGCAAAATGTTTAAATCTATAGCTAGTTTCCTGTCCAGTATAATAGACCTTAGCTTTACTTAGTAAAAATAATATTGGATGAGTACTGAGCTTTTGAGTTGAATGTTGTTGAGTTGGGGAAAGTGGCAGTTATATCTCCTTAAAGAGTAAAGAGGACTGTAGCAGTGGAACTGAGAGTTAGCAGTGTTCTGGAGGCAGTATGGCCTCATGGCAACAAGCAGGAGCTTTGGAGTTAAGCTGCCTGGGATTGAATTCTGTTCTTGCATGCATTTCCTTGCCAAGTTATTTAACTTTGCTGTGCTTCAATTTCCTGACATTAAGGTGGAGGTAGTGATAGTACCTGCTACAGGGTTGTTTTGAAGAGTCAATGAGGTGACGCATATGAAGTGGTTAGAACATCTGGGTTATAGTCACTATAGTCACTGGGTTATAGTCACTGATTACTGTGGGGAAGAGATTGTTAACCTGTGATACTTCAGATGGCTTCATTGTTATAACTTTGATTCATTGACCACATGCTGATATCTACAACTATAGATACCTACATGGAAAGCATGGTGTCAAGGACTGTGGAATTATAGATTAAGGTATTCCTGTGGTCAAAGGTTTATAATCTAATTGAGGAGAAAGACATAAACAAATAACTAATAAAGAACAGTGCCTTAGGAAAGATGCCAGCCAAAGTTTTATGAACTTGCAGAAGAGAAGAGTGATCTGTGTCAACTGGGAGAAATGGGGAAGACGTTACAAATGCCTTCATATAGATAACATGTGGACTGGGCTTTGAAGGGAGAGGATTCTTACCAGATGGAAATGAGATTAACCTCTAACATGCCACCAGTGTTTAAGTTGGAAAGCATTGTTTACAAAGAAATTTACTTTCTTGGGAAGTCCAAGAAAAGAATGAGACTATTGTAGATACATGAAAGGATTGTGAGGAATTGGTGGCAGTTTTTGTTTTAAACTGATGGAATGTGGAAACAGGTCAAAGATGGCTCCATGACTCCAAACTCTCTTAGAGGATTATGGTGATTATGATGATATCAAAGTAGGATCATAGAAGAAGAATTTTGTTGGGAAGAACAGACTCCAGCCCTGTTGTATTTGCAATGCTATGTAGGGAGTAGTTCCTACTTAGTATGCAGTTATGTATGTTAGAAGTCAGGATTTTGGTTTTTTTTTAAGGTTTTTTAAAAAAAATCTATTCTTTTGAGATAGAGAGGGAGTGCATGAGCAGGAGAGAGAGGCAGAGGGAGAGGGAGAAGCAGACTCCCCACTGAAGAAGGAGCCCAACATGGGGCTCAATCCCAGGACCCTGGGATCATGACCTGAGCTGAAGGCAGATGCTTAACCAACTGAGCCACCCAGGGACCCCAAAGCCCATGAATTATAAATAGAGATGGATGTGTAGCTGTGGAAATGCATAAGATTGTTGGAAGAAAAAACAGTTAGGAAAAACACGTTCAGGGATAAAGCCTTGTGGAATGCTCAGACTTAAAAGATAGCAAGAGGAAGAACCAAAAAAATAGGTTTGAGAAAGAGTAAGAAAAATAGGAGAGTATAATATCACACAAGGCAAGGGCAGAATTTTGAGGAAGAGGTCTTTCATATCAAATGCTGAAAAAAAACTAGAATAGAGATTTAGCTTGTATGTGATCTTGACAGTAGTGGTTGTGAGCTTGTGGTAGGTCAGAGGCCAGATTGTAATGATCTGGGAAGTGATAATGAGAAAGCAGACTATTTCAGGACCTCTGGGGAAGATGGTGGGGAAGGAAGATCCCAGGCTTATCTCGTTGCTGGGATACAACTAGGTAGTATCCATATCAGTATAAATAACTGATAAGGCAGACCATTGAGAAGTCTAATAAGGAAGGAAAGGGGAGTGATAGTACCTTAGCTTGAGGGGAAGCCATTCAGGGGAAAGTTTTGTTGAGTTGTCTGGTTTTTGGGTTGTTTTTCTTTCTTCCATGTATAGGAGATTTTAGCTTCTTAATGGGAGTTAGGGAAAAGAATCAGGGGTCAAGGAGAACCTTGAAAGATGCAAGGGGGAAGGGACAAAATCCTTGAGGAATTAATCCTGAGATGGGATTAAGAGGAGAAGCAGTGATAAGTCTTGAACAGGAATTAGGATGCCTGCTGCTTCCTCTGGGTGGGGGGTGGGGGTGTTGCAAGTTTATATCAGATAGCAGCTCTCAGGGAAGTAGGAGGAAAGCTTTTCTGCTGCTAGAGTGAGGATTGAACTTAGTTTTTGGACCCGTTAAAGGACTGTGGTAGCCACTAGAGGGTAGAGGATATCAATCAGGTATAAAAGAACTACAAAAGTATTAAAGAAGTACTTAAGAGTGCATGCAGCCAAAGAGGAAAATCATTCTTCACTGGCAGGCTCAAATGAAGAGAGGAGTGACAGACTATGTGTTTTATATAAGGGTGATTCTTATGTAAGATTCAGTAGGAATAAGGAGAGGTGCAGAATTTTGAAATTGCAGAGGTAGAATGGTACTGCTTAGAGACCAGTTTTTAAAGAATTGCATGCTTGATGGTTGCTGTGGTGGAGTAGAACTAATAATTTATTTGTCCCTGCTTTGGATTCCTAAATTAGTTAAATGCCTTGGCTTTGTCATCTTTATCTTACGGAGGCTAAATGGATGCATAAAAGCTGTACCTGAGAGACACTGCATGGCCCTGTACTACTCCTACTATTACAATGTCTGTTTTTCCCCCAAGAAGAGGATTTTCTTATAGATTTATCATTAGAAATTTTCATAATATGTGGTGTTGGTCATAATAGTAAAACTAATGTTCTTGTTTGTTTTTAGTGGTTACTGCAGCTTCTTTTCACACTAAAGACTCTACTAACAGAAAACCTTTAACCAAAAGTCAGCCCTGTTTGACATCCTTTAATTCTTTGGACATTACTTCCTCTAAAGCAAAGAAAGGAAAAGAGAAGGAAATTGCAAAACTAAAACGGCCCACAGCACTTAAAAAGGTAAACCAAAATCTGCTGGTGTTTATCTTATAAGATAAATAAGGATTTAAATCTGTTTTGCAAAAGTAGTTTGTGGCGGTTTTTTTAGCCAACAGATTATTATGAGATAGTCCTAAGCATACATCTTTATGAGGACTAGTTAATTGGGGGTTGGGGATATCATCAGCATCAAGATTATCTTTCTGTATTGAACAAGGCCCTGGAGGATGAATTCTTTCTGTAAGGTTGAAAAAAAAGTAAACATTTAGCATCCAAAATGTTGGACCTAGGAATCAGAAGCCCTGGATTCTGGTTCCAAATTATATAGTTTCAGGCAAACCTTTCCTACCCTTATCTTCTTCATCTGTAAGTCAAGATAATATCGGCCTTATTTAATTCAGTATTGTTAGGAGCAAAATGAGATGATCCATGCCCAGATAATTGAAAACTACAAAGTGTAAATCTATTGTATGACCTGGTTTCCACACTTTATATTTTATCCTTTTTTGTGGAAACTCAGGATTTAAAAAGGAAAGCAAATGTGGTTCGATAGTTGTGGCATTATATAGCTTAATTACCTGCCTTTATTTTGGATATAGTACTTCTTTCAACTACAGTGTCTAAAATTAACATTTACTTTTTTACCAGTCAGTTTCTTTGTAGTCAACTAAACATGTAGCCAATCAAACTCCCCATGTCCATTTGTAAGTGACCTTTAACTGTGTAGTAGTGAACATTTTCATCATTCAGTACATAAAGAGTGATCAGTAATTAAAGACCGGTAATGACTTTTAGGTTATTTTGAAAGAAAGAGAGGAAAAGAAGGGCCGTTTAACTGTGGACCATAACCTTTTGGGATCTGAGGAACCAATAGAAATGCACTTAGATTTTATTGATGATTTGCCACAGGAGACTGTTTCCCAGGAAGGTAAGATCACCCCTTTCTCCCTTATCATGGAATGGTGCAGAGTATTTTAATCAATAAGCCATCACTAGTTACTATCCTAATTGTAGGATATGCTCCATATTTATCCACATTTACTTTTTGGGAGTGGTTTCTTTTGAAGATGCTTTTGTAGGGAGATATTTAAAAGGGGGGATGGGGCAGGTCTTATGTAGGGTCTGTGACATTTTTAAGGCTTAAGGCTTGGTTTTGTTGTAAGTACTAATAATTATGGTCTCATCAGTGCATCCTCTATAACTCATAGTTCTTTTCATTTTGTCTTCTTTTGTATTTAGAACATTACTGGCTGTTTTCTTCACAGGACTATTTTTAATTGGATTGGTTTTGTTGGTTTTCTTTCTCACTTTCATGAATTAATACATATACCATAGTGAGTGAGTAGAGAATTACAAAGCCTCTTGTAGAGCAGAATTCAGTTGGTCAGTAAGCTTCAGTCCCATACAGTAGCCATCACATATGATTTTAGGTAGGACCTCAGCAAAATTGCACATTCCTTCTGATATTTTAACTACTGTTGAAGAGAGATTTTAAGAGATACCTGGCTAGGTCCCTTTTTCTGCTGGTGTATGTGTATTCCTTTCTGCAACACATTTAAATCTGTTTTACACGTATTTACTGGCAGTGTTCCATTGTGTTTAGTAAAGATTTTGCTTCTAAATATTGTTCAGCTAGGACATATTTGGTTAAGATTCCCCTTTACTCTCAATTAAATATCATTTCCTTTGTATTTAGGTTTATCCATTCATTAAAAAATGGATGAATTCAGCATTCATTTAGGTGTTTATTGATTGCCTGTCATGGGTACTTCAGTAACTGGGTTGGAGATTGGAAGGTCAAGAAATGTAATAAAGAGTTGGGAAAAAAAAAAAAGAATGGATTGGAGACAAGAAGATACATGTGTAACTTTGCTAACTAGTGGACTGGAATACAAATAATAACTCATTTCCTGAGTTTAGCTGTTTAGGAAAAAAGCACCAAATGAAGGAAGCAGTCAAGTTAAAAGATGGTATCTAAAAAAATGAGGCTGCCGTAGCACAGAAGCAAAGACCAAATGAGAGAGAAACTGGGGGTGGTGTCTAAAGAAATCAGGAGGGGTGTGGAGAGAATGAGTTAGGTAGAATTCATCATTGCCAGCAGCAGTGGGAATTTTTAGACAGGTGAAAAAATAGAGATCAAGGAGATGGATAATATGATCTGGAAAGAGGTTCAGAAGTTATTACCTTTGTTCTTCAATTTAAATCCTTTAGAATACATGTTTTACATCACTTGACTTTCTCATGTTTCTTGTGCAGAGACTTATAGACTGTGCTTCTTTTTTAAGAGTATGTTTTAACAGATAATAGGAAGACTTCATTTTTGTAGAATATGAGAGATGTTTATGATATAAACAATACCCAACTTGTTAGCTTCTGGAGAATTTGAAAGTTACACAAAAGACAACTGCTTTTCTAAGTAGTGTTGATCAGTATATAGTTTTTCAGCATTTGAAGTTTCTAATTTTTTTCCTCTGCCCCTACATCTCCACAGATACTGCACTGAGCATGCCCAGTGATACTTCGCTTTCTCCAGCAAGTCAAAACTCTCCATACTGTATGACACCTGTGTCACAAGGCTCTCCGGCTAGTTCTGGGATAGGCAGTCCAATGGCATCTTCAACAATAACCAAAATCCACAGCAAAAGATTTAGAGAGTAAGTTTTAGTCTCATTATTGAGGTTGAATAGTTTAACTGTCTGGATTGTGGCTCTGACTGCAGTATTGTCATTACCTGGTGGGTTGAGCATACAAAACTTCAAAGAGACTTGAGTTTTTTTCAGTTTTTTTTAATAGCTAGTTTTATTTAAAGCATTTGACTTCTGTCAGCTATCAGTGTTCATGTGAAAATGCTTTGCCAGCAAATATATTCTTTTTATATCCGATAATATTAATAAATAAACCTGGAAATCTCACCTACATCTTACATGCACATTGCCTTAATATGGGGTTTTTCCTCCTCAAATGCTTTTGCTTTTTTGTTTATATTATTAGCCTTTCAGAAAAGAACCCCTCTCTAACCAATTAAAAACAAGTTTCTAAGACCCTGTTACATGAAGTGAACCTATTACATAAAGCTTTTTGTTTTTAAGCACATGTTTCTAAGTTTTAAAATACCTATCAGTAGATAATATTGAGCTAATGGTTATTTCTATGAAGGATTTTAGGATTTTAACATTTGTGCAGATGATACATTTAAAAATGACATATGAAAGAATCCCAGGGTGAAAGTAACAATCAGTATGAATCCAAACCATATTGGTTTGTTCTGTTCCTTTTTTTTTTTTTTTTTTTTACGCAAGTGTAGTGATACACAATATTACATTAGTTACAGGCCAAATGGCCTACTACATAGTGAGTTGACATTCATATACATTATTATGAAATGATCATCACTGTATGTTTTAGTTACTGTCACCATACAAAGTTATTAAAATATTTTTTACTTCTTTATTTTAAACTGGAAGTTTGTACCTCTTAATTCCCTTCACCTATTTAACCTGTAACCCCACTCCCTTCCCATCTGACAACCACCATTTTGTTCTGTCTGTTTTTGAGTGTGTTTCTGGTTTGTTCATTTATTTTGTTTTTTAGATTCCATCTATAAGTGAAATCATACAATATTTGTTTTTTTCTGATTTATTTCACTTAGTATACCCTCTGGGTCCATCCATGTTGTTTCAAATGTCAAGCTCTGATTCTTTTTTATGGCTGAGTAATATGCCACACACAGTATATTCCACACATAGCTACAACCCCATCTTTTTTTTTTTTTTTAGGTTTTAATTTTTTTTTAAATTTTTTTATAAACATATAATGTATTACTAGCCCCAGGGGTACAGGTCTATGAATCACCAGGTTTACACACTTCACAGCACTCAGCATAGCATATACCCTCCCCAATGTCCATAACCCCACCACCCTCTCCCTACCCGCCTCCCCCCAGCAACCCTCAGTTTGTTTTGTGAGATTAAGATTCTCTTATGGTTTGTCTCCCTCCCTTCCTACCCCACAATGTCCCCACATTGCATCTCTACTTTCTCATATCAGGGAGATCATATGATATAGAACCCCATCTACAACCCCATCTTCTTTATTTATTCATCTGTTTATGGACATTTAGATTGCTTCCATATCTGGATTTATCACAAACAATGCTGCAGTGGACATAGTGTTGCTTATATCTTTTTGAATTCATGTTTTTGTTTTCTTCAGGTAAATGCCAGGAAGTGGAATCGCTAGATTGTATGATATTTCTATTTTCAATTTTTGAGGACCTCTCTGGTGTTTTCTCTAGTGGCTACACCAGTTCATTCCCATGAATAGTACATGAGGTTTCCCTTTTCTCCATGTGCTTGCCAACACTTCTTGTCTTTTTGATTGTAGCAATTCTGACAGGTGTGAGGTGATAGCTTATTTGTATCTCTTGGTTTTGATTTGTATTTCCCTGAAGATTATCAATGTTGAACATCTCTTCATGTGTCTGTTGGCCCTCTTTATGTCTTTTCTGGAATGTCTGTTCAGGGCTTTGCCCATTTTCTAGTCAGATTGTTTGGGGGTTTTTGTGTTGAGTTGTAGGAATCCTTTTACGTATTCTGGGTATTAATCTCTCATTTGTCTTGTTTTTTTTTGGATAGTAACCTCTTATCTAACATGTCGTTTGCAATTATCTTCTCCAATTCAGTAGGATGTCTTTTTGTCTTATTGATGATTTCCTTTGTTGTGTAAAAGCTTTTTAGTTTGATGAAGTTTCATCAAATTTTTTTTTTCTTTTTGCTCATTTTTGCTTTTGTTGCTCTTGCTTGAGGGGACAGATCCAGAAAAAATTTCCAAGAATTTACTGATGATGTCTTCCCATAGGAGTTTCAGGACTTACATTTAGGTCTTTAATCCATTTTGAGATTATTTTTGTATATGGTGTAAGAAAGGGGTTCTTTTGCGTTTCTTCTTGTGTGTTTCGTTCTTTTGCATGTAACTGTCCAGTTTGCTCAGAACCATTTTATTGAAGAAACAGTCTTTTCCCCATTATATATTCTTGCGTTTTTTTGGTCTTGGATTGACTTACCATTAAGTGTGGGTTTATTTCTGGTCTCTTTGTTCTATTGATCTCTGTTTTTGTGCCAGTACCACACTTTTTTGATGACTATAGCTATGCAGAATAGTTTTAAATTGGGGCATGTACCTCCTGCTTTGTTCTTTCTCAGGATTGCTTTGGCTATTTGGGTCTTTTGTGATTCCCTACAAATTTTAGGATTCTTTGTTCTAGTCCTGTGGAAAATGCTGTTTTGATAGGGATTGCTTTAAATCTGTGAATTCCTTTGTATAATGTGGACATTTAACAACATTAATTCTGCCAGTCCATGAGCACAGTATATCTTTCAATTAATGTAATCTTCAGTTTCTTTCATCAGTGTCTTTTCGTTTTCAGAGTATAGTTTTATACCTCCGTGGTTAAGTTTATTCCTAGGTAGTCCTAGGTATTTTATTCTTTTTGATGTAAATGGGATTGTTTTCTTAATTTTTCTTTTTGCTGGCTTGTTATTGTATAGAGGTGCGACAGATTTTTGTGTATTAATTTTGTATCCTGTAGCTTTACTGAATTAATTTATTAGTTCTCATTGTTTTCTGATGTAGTCTTTAGTGTTTTCTACACACAGTATCATTTCATCAGCAGATAGTGACAGTTTCATTTCTTCCTTACCAACTTGGATGCATTTTATTTCTTAATTTTCTCTGATTGCTGTAGTTAAACATTTCTGGTACTTTGCTGTATAAAAGTGGCAAGGCTGAGCATCTTTGTCTTATTCCTGATTTTAGAGGAAAAGCTTTCAGCTTCTCACTGTTAAGTATGGTATTAACTGTGGGTGTGTCAAATATGGCCTTTATTATGTTGAGGTATGTTCCCTGTGTATCTACTTTGTTGAGAATTTTTACAATAAATGGATGTTGAATTTTGTCAAATGTTTTTTCTATAGCTGTTGAGAAGATGATATGATTTTTAGCCTTCATTTTGTTAATGTGGATGACGATTGGTTTGTTGATATTGGATTATCTCTATATCCCTGGAATAAATGCCATTTTGAACATGGTGTGCGATTCTTTTAACATATTATTGAATTTGGTTTGCTAATATTTTGTTGAGGATTTTTGCTTCCATGTTCATTAGGGATATTGGCCTATAACTTTCTTTTTCTGTAGTATCTCTGGTTTTGGCATCAGGGTCTCATAGAAGGAATTTGGAAGTATTCCTCTTAGTTTTTGGAATACTTTGAGAAGAATAGGTATTAACTCTTCTTTAAATGTGTATAGAGGGGCACCTGGATGGCTTAGTTGGTTAAGTGTGTGTCTTCTGCTCAGATCATGTTGGTTGTGGGGTCAACCACTGTATTGGGCTCCCTGCTCAGCGGGAGTCTGCTTCTCCCTCTGCCTCTCCTGCCCTGCTTGTGCTCTCTCTCTTGCTCACTCTCTCTCTCAAATAAAAAAGATTTTTAAAAAGAAATAAAAAAAAATAATAAATCTGTAATAGAATTCATCTTTGAAGCTATCTGGTCCTGGGCTTTTGTTGGGGTTTTTTGGATTATTGTTTCTCTTTTATTACTAGTAAACAGTATTCAGACTTTCTATTTCTTAATGATTCAGTTTTGGAAGATTGTGTGTTTCTAAGAATTTAACCATTTCTTCTCAGTTGTCCAGTTTATGGATATATAATTTTTTTAATAGATTTTTATTTATTTATTTGACAGAGATCACAAGTAGGCAGAGAGGCAAGCAGAGAGAGAGGGGGAAGCAGGTTCTCTGCTGAGCAGAGAGCCTGATGCGGGGCTTGATCCCAGGACCCTGAGACCATGACCTGAGGTGAAGGCAGAGGCTTTACCCCACTGAGCCACCCAGGCGCCCCTGGATGTATAATATTTCATAGTAGTCTATGGTACTTTGTATTTCTGGGTGTCAGTTGTAATTTCTCTTTTATTTCTGATTTTGTGTATCTGGGCCCCCTTTATTTTCTAGATGAGTCTGACTTAAAGGTTTATCATTATTGTCCCTCTTTAAAAAAATTTTTTTTATTGAAGTATAGTTGATTCACAATATTATATTAGTTTTGGGTGTGTAACAAGTCTGTATGTTATGTTTACCACAAGTATAGCTACCATCTGTTACCATACAGTGCTATTACAATACCATTGATTATATTTCCTATGTTGTACCTTTTACCGCCATGACTTATTCATTCTATTACTGAAAGCAGATATCTCCCCTCCTCTTCACCCATCTTTCCCATTGTGCCCATCTTTCCACCCTTTACCCCTTGGTGAAGTTCATTCTTAGTATTTATGGTTCTGTTTCTGTTTCTTTTTCTTTTCTTTCTTTCTTTCTTTTTTTTTTTTTTTTAAATTTCATTTATTTATTTGGCAGAGAGAGATCACAAGTAGGCGGAGAGGAGGGAGAGAGAGGGGGAAGCAGGCTCTCCGCTGAGCAGAGAGCTCGATGCGGAGCTCGATCCCAGGACCCTGAGATCATGACCTGAGCTGAAGGCAGAGGCTTTAACCCACTGAGCCGCCCAGGCACCCTGTTTCTTTTCTCTTCTTTTCTTTTTAAAATTTGTTCACTTGTTTTGTTTTTTGGATTCCACATTGTAAGTGAAATTATATGGTAGTTT